GGAGAGAAGGAATACGATTTTTAAAAATCTGTGTTAAGGTTAAAAATTCAAACTTATAAGCCTAGTCTCTAAGTACAGAAAAGAATGAAGGGAAAACACCCTAAAGCTGTTTTCACCAATCGTATCGTTAGTGGAGCGTTAGTATCTTTATTCTCATTGTTGATTTATTGTGGGGTAAAGGAAATGAAGAATTCTGTTATTTTCTAATTCTGTCATTCCTGGTGTCCTTTAAAAGTGGAATTCTTGATGTGAGAGAAAGAAGATACGGATCTGAGTTCAAGGAAGTCAAAACTCTGTAGTCCTGAATTTGAATTGCAAGTATAGGTATGGAATCATGTGGGTTTTTTTTTTAAGGAAAAAATATATATATTTTTCTAGATCTTTCCACAAGAAAAGACCTAGAAACAGCCCAGAAGCAACACACACTTTTAACACCTAGATTTGGTCTGCCAAAAAGAAATAGGAGTCACTGGGATTCCTGATTTGAAGACGGTGATGGAAAATGTTTAAGATGAGCCTGGAATCTTTCTTAGGCAAGGGAGCAATTAATAACTGCTGGAGTCATTGTCAGAGGACCAAGAAGCCGGTTTAAAGAGGTTCAGATTGGTCAAACATGGGGTAATTAGACATCAAGATTAGAAACTACTGAATTGAAGTTCATGAAATCTATCTAAAGCCATGAGCTGGTAACAACACCCGCAATGTAATTGATCAGTGTTGGTGGACACCCAGAAACCGACTTGATAAAAGCCAGTGAAAGTCGGCCTTTCCTATACAAACTGTACCCCTGGGAAACCACATCACAGGAGGGGGGATATTTCTCTTTAGAGAGGAATTCCAGCTAATGAATGAGGACTAGGCAAAAGAATTAGAGCCTGACCATTTTTGCAGTTTTAATGAAGTAATGAATCTAGGCATTGCTCATTAACAGTGGTCAACATAAAAGAGAGGAGAGAGAGAGAAACATCAGACATTCTGTGTCCGCTGGTGGGAAAACACCATCATCTATGAGGCAACCTACCCAAAACAGTCCAATCTTAATCTGATGAAGTGATTTTGCCAACTCGTAGTTTACAGTAAGAGTATGTTGACACTTCCATCGAAAAGCAGGACTCTGAGAACATGCTCAACAAATGGATTGCAAAGAAGCAAAAATAAATAGAGATGATACCCATAGACTGGAAGAGACATGAGGAGAAAAGCAATTAATGCAATTCGTCATAGTAACAGACTAAGAAAAGCCATATGATCATCTCAATAGAGGCAGAAAAAGCATTTGATAAAATTCAACATTAATTCATCCAAAAAAAAAAAAAAGAACCTCTCAGCAAACTAGGAGTAGACGTAGGAATGGAAAAGAGTTTCCCTGAACTAATAAAGGGTATTTATGAAAACTCGACACCTAACATCATACTTAATAGAGAGACATTGAATGTTTTTTAAGATAACGAACAAGGCAAAAATGCCCTCTCTGATCACACGTATTGAACATCATTGGAAGTCCTAACCAATGCAATAGGCAAGAGAAAGAAATTAAAAACGTATCGATTTGAAAGGAAGAAATAAAACCATCTATTGGCAAATGACATAAATCGTCTATGCAGAAAATCCCAAATAACTTACAAAAACAAGGGTTCTGGAACTAATAAGTGAATTTAGCAAGTTTGCAAGACAAGTCAGTATACAAAAGTAAATTATATTCCTATGTACCAGCAATGAACAATTGAAATTTAAAAAGGAATACCATTTACAACAGCACCAAATAAATTAAGTACATGGACGTAAGTCTAAGAAAACGTGTGCAGGATCTGTATGTTGAAAATCACAAAACTCTGATGAAGGAAGTCAAGAAGATCTAAATAAATGAAGAGATAGACTGTGTGCGTTGATTGGAGGACTCAGTAATGTTCAGGTGTTGATTCTTTCTGCAGTTTCAATGCAATACCACAAGATTTTTTTTTTTTTTTTTGATACAGAGTCTCACTCTGTCGCCCAGGCTGGAGTGCAGTGGCGCGATCTCAGCTCACTACAATCTCCATCTCCCAGGTTTACGCCATTCTCCTGCCTCAGCCTCCTGAGTAGCTGGGACTACAGGTACCCGCCACCATGCCCGGCTCTTTTTATATATGTATATAAAAGTATATATATATACTTTTAGTAGAGACGGGGTTTCACCGTGTTAGCCAGGATGGTCTCGATCTCCTGACTTCGTGATCTGCCTGCCTTGGCCTCCCAAAGTTCGAGCCACTATGCCCAGCAAAATACCACAAGCTTTTTTACAGATATTGACAAACTGATTCTAAAATTTATATGGAAAGCAAAGGAACTAAAATAGCCTAAACAATTCTGAAAATGATGAGCGAAGTCAGAGGACAGACACTATCTGGCTTTAAAACATACTATACAGCTGCAGAAACCAAGGCAACATGATGTTTGGGGACAGATAGACATGCAAATCAATGAAACAGAATAGAGAACCCAGGAATAGACTTACCCAAATATGCTCAACTGATTTTTTGGCAGAGGCGCAAAGATGATCCAATGGAAAAAGAATAGTCTTTTAAAAATGGTGCTGGGGGCCAGGCATGGTGGCTCATGCCTGTGATCCCAGCACTTTGGGAGGCCAAGGCAGGTGGATCACCTGATGTCAGGAGTTCAAGACCAGCCTGGTCAACATGGTCAAACCCCATCTCTATTAAAAATACAAAAAATTAGCTGGACATGGTGGCACATGCCTGTAATCCCAGCTACTCCGGAGGCTGAGGCAGGAGAATCACTTGAACCAGGGAAGGGTAGGTTGCAATGAGTCGAGATTGTGCCACTGCACTCCAGTCTAGGCGACAGAGCTAGACTCTGTCTCGGGAAAAAAAAAAAAAAAAAAAAAATGGTGCTGGAAAAACTGGATATTGATATGCAAAATAAATAAACAAATAAACCCCAACACACACCTCATACTTTATACAAAAATTTCCTCCCAGGGATTTAAAAGCCCAGTTTCATTTAAAATCTTTTGGCCCAGCATAGTGGCTCACGCCTGTAATCCCAGCACTTTGGGAGGCCGAGGCGGGCAGATCACTTGAGGTCAGGAGTTCGAGACCAGTCTGACCAATATGGAGAAACCCCGTCTCTACTAAAAATAACAAAAGTTAGCCAGGCGTGGTGGCACACACTTGTAGTTCCAGCTACTCGGGAGACTGAGGCAGAGGAATCGCTTGAACCCAGGAAGCGGAGGTTGCAGTGAGCCGAGATTGCGCCACTGCGCACCCGCCTGGGTGACAGAGTGAGACTCCATCTCAAAAGAAAAATTGCAGATTGAAACATTCAGATACCTACATACAGGGTCTGTATGGATGCTAACTTAAAAGCTCTTCTTACAGAGACATTTCCATGGACATCCTCATGCTTCTTCTGCTTTTGGGTATAATGTATGGGAGGTTTTCTCAAGATGAATACTCCCTCAATCAAGCTATCCGGAAAGAATTTACAAGGTAGGAGGTTTGGGTTAACTCCTCTAGATCTGGGGCCATTGCACTAGTCCATAGCCTGCGTGCACCTTCCCCATATTGCACAACCCACATATGAAATATAAGGAAGATTGTCACAATTTCCCTGGTATTAATAAAACCCCCTCCATTCGCAGACTTTGGATACATTCTTAGCATTTTCTTTGGGGTAAGTAGTGAAACGAGGATATTTCAAGGAATTTTAAGTTCTGCACCAAAACAGGGTCTTGCAGTTTCTTTTTGCTGGAGACATCAGTTTTCTGCCAAAGCCTATGGTTGCAGTTCATAATAACCGACACTCAAGTTCAAACAGTTTCTTTTTTTTTCTTGTTGTTTTTTTGTTTGTTTGTTTGTTTGTTTGTTTGTTTTGAGACAGAGTTTTGCTCTTGTCACCCAGGCTGGAGTGTAATGGCGCGCTCTCAGTTCACTGCAATCTCCCAGGTTCAAGCAATTCTCCTGCCTCAGCCTCCCAAATAACTGGGATTACAGGCATGTGCCACCACGCTCACCTAATTTTTTTGTATTTTTAGTAGAGGTGGGGTTCACTATGTTGGTCAGGCTGATCTTGAACTCCTGACCTCAAGTGATCCACCCGCCTTGGCTTCCCAAAGTGCTTGGATTACAGGTGTGTGCCACTGTGCCCGGCCTTCAAACAATTTCTAACACCTCTCAAGTTCTTGATCATTTCTCAAGTTACTCATTTGCTTCTTCCTCCTTCTTTCTCTAAGTAGTAGATGTTGACCATAGGTAAATCTAGCAGAACTGAAAAGTGAAAAGCAGAAAAATTTCCGTGATGCCACCAGGCAGAGGCAAGCATGATAGCATTTTGTTGTGTCCTATTTCTTTTCCATGTCTCAGTGCTTCTAAAATTGGGATGCATATTGTCACCAACAGGTGCATTTAATGTAGTCTTCCTTTTTTGTTGACAGTTGTTCCTGAATCCATGGTTAGGCTTTATTTTTACCTGCCACAAATAGTCTGATAGTCCTTTCAAGGCAGTGTGGCTTTGAATTCTAAAGTGCATGATATGAAATAATATTGGTTCTTCGCTATGATTGCAATGCTGGTAAATACAATAATTCAGTGTGTTCCAGGAGTTACCTTATTTTACTCTGGTGAATATTTAAAGACGCATTTATGCAACAGCTCTATGAGTGTGTTGCCTTTGACTAAGTAATTCAATTTGATATAAATACTTTTTGGTGAGATTTTTGGCAGAAGTGAGTGACTGGAAAGTCCATTTAATTTTTATCAATTATTTCAGAGCACATCTATCTTTATTTTTTGTAAGAGAGAGGGTTATTCATACGCAGCAAGATAATGGCTAATGGATATTGTCCCCTTTGTCAGCATTGTGAACCACTCATAAGGTAAGACCTGGAAGTCCCAGTGCTATGAGTCTGGGTGTTCTGTAGCTCAGTAATCCAAGTTGTTTTGTTTTTTTTTTTTTTCTGCTGAGCATTCTAGTAGTGAAATTAAGTGGAATTTTCTGCCTCCTCATTTGTGAAACAAGCAGTTATTTCCATCCACAACCAACTTTTCAGCCCTCCTGTCTATGCAAGTGCAAGCCTTTGCCAGTAGGTGGCGCTGTGTGCAAAACAAAGTGACAATTTGGTCCTCTCTGAAAATGGAAATCTAAACATGAAAAACCTCTGACTTTTGCTAGTTTATTTTTTATCTCACATTTCACAAGTCAACATCATTTGGCATATTTCTCATATGAATTGGTGCTTCTTGATAGTCAAATCAGAAATATCGCAGCTGAGATAATATTTGTGAGATCTCAGGTGCGGATGAGATTGATGTGCCCACATTCACAGCTCCTGTGGATTTGCACAGACCTTATGTTTCCCACAAGGATGCAAAACCCCACTGCCTCTGGGTGCTCTGGCCACCAGGCAGGGATATTTGTGTGTCCCAGTTGGTAATGGAATGTTTAAAGTGGACCCTCTCCATCTCACCGCCTAGCCCCCAATACCTAATCCTGAAACATCAACAACTGAGGGTTTGGCATTTACTAGCATTCCAGATAGAGAAGCTAAGTAAGCCCAGGAGGGGAAATGGATGAAACAGAGTTCAGAGATCAGGGCCCCAACTCATGTTTGGTTGCTAGGTGACTCTGGCAAGTGCTTGGACTTAGCACCTTCATCTGTAAAGGGAGGGAACTGGACTACTGAGTACTTATGTCTTAAGAAGTCATTACAGTCTTGGATTTCGCTATATTTAGGTTGTATTTGAAGTGTTTCTGAACTTATGAAATACTTCATGAAATTCCAAAAAAAAACTACATAAAACAAAAAATAAACCAGCAAATAAAGCACCAATCAATGAAGCAAGCGTTCTATCCAAGTGCCATAAATGTAAGCAGCTGATTTTATCTTTTGCATTGTTTAGCCAGCTTTATGGGCTTATTTTATGTAATTGTGGTAATTAATACAGACAGGGCCAGAATACTCCTGGCTCATTGGGTTCACTACCTGCACTTTGGATGTGCCAGGAATGAGGCGTGAGATGTCTACAGTCTGGCCATTGGGTGCTTTGGGTTATTTTCAGGGCTTTTTTAGTTTCTTGATGTTATTCCAATAGGGAAGCAAGTGTCAAGAAGTGATACCATTTCCCTGAAAGTGGTACAAACTCAACATGGCTATAATGTCTATACTTTATTCTTTAAAAACACAGAATATGGAGCGTATTAGTTGCTATAAATGTACAATGTTTGTCTGTCAAATCATCTTGCTTCCCACAGCAGATGCTCAACACTTTCCTCTGTTGAAAATTCACCTCCAGCCATCCTTTGCCTCTTTCCTACCCTCCCACCCTTTCACTTCATCTCTGTGCCCCCTGGTTCATTCATCCTTTCCTTTGGCATGAATATTTGCAGAAATGTATCTGCTCACCTTATGCCTCCCACCTCTGTCTCCATCTGTGTTCTCCTTTCCTGATGCCTCTCTGTTGCTTCATTCCATCCTCTGGGTGCTCTGGCAGGCCTCCAACTTGCTCTGCATTTGATAGTTTGACAAAACTTGTAGAGAAGTCCAGAGTTAAGAACCAGTACCCAATAAAAGACCTGCAAAGATTAAGTTCTAAAGATGTACAAACCAATAAAGATCAAATACTTGAAAGGATAAGAGATCATTTCTTTGTAAGAAGAAGGAAATAAATCCAGTCAGATAAATTAATTCACTAGACTTTTACTCATACATGCTATGGAAATTTTTTTTTTGAGACAGAGCCTCGCTGTTGCCCAGGCTGGAGTGCAGTGATGTGATCTCGGCTCACTGCAGCCTCTGCCTCCCGGGTTCAAGGAATTCTCCTGCCTCAGCCCCCCGAGTAGCTGAGACTACAGGTGCACATCACTATGCCTGGCTAATTTTAGTGTTTTTAATAAAGACGGGGCGTTAGCCGTGTTGGCCAGGCTGGTCTCAAATTCCTGGCCTCAAGTGATCTACTCACCTCGGCCTTCCAAAGTGCTAGGATTACAGGCCTGAGCCACCGAGCCCAGCCATATGGAAATTTTCGAACACATTTATAGTATATATAGATTATTGGTTGAGGCTACTGCATCTCTTTATTACTCTATATACTGGTGACATTTATCTGTCTTTGATTTTTTTAATATTGTCCAATTATTGTCATGACTCTCAGGTTTTAAAAAACTTTTTCTAAATTGTCTGCAAAGTTATAGCATTTGCCAGCCAAGTTCCATGGTGTAAATCTTCCCACCATGGTTTTTTTGTTTTGTTTCATTTTGGTTTTTTTGTTTGTTTGTTTTTTGATGAAGGCTCACTCTGTCCCTGAGGCTGGAGTGCAGTGGCATGATCTTGACTCACTGCAACCTGCGCCTCCTTGGTTCCAGCGATTCTCCTGCCTCAGCTTCCTGAGTAGCTGGGATTACAGGCATGCACCATCACGCCCGGTTAATTTTTTGTGTTTTTAGTAGGGACGGAGTCTCATCATTTTGGCTAGGCTGGTCTCAAACTCCTGACCTCAGGTGGTCTGCCTGCCTCAGCCTCCCAAAGTTCTGGGATTACAGGCATGAGCCACTGTGCCCGGAATCACCATGGTCTTTTACACCACCAGTGTGACATCACTGAACATGGAGTTGGCAGGAGTTGTGCAAAATTGGCTCTCACAATGAGAGTCGGCTCCAGGCCTGCTGTCTACAGCCCAACTTTGCTCTCAAGCCTCGTTTACCAAAGCCATGGCCATCATCTGAATGACTCACAGTGTGTTCATTCTTTGGAGTAATCTGGATCTGGTGCTTGACCAGGCATTCAATTGTGTGTACTTCTTTCTAACTTCTTCTCACCTTAGGACAAAATTCCTTTTCCCGAGAACTATTTTGGTCTCCCCTTTTTGTGGAGAGAAACCAGGACGAAACAGCCACATCAGAGCCATTTCTGTTTGCTCAGGGCATGTTGATGAGCACCCCATCCTTTCCATTCTTCAGTGACTCTTCATGGGAAGCCATGTATGAGAAAGGTTTTTAGAGTTAGGTGAGAGGTACTTTGCTTTTTCTTAGGAACACTTGATTTTATCCTTTTGCCTCTGGCTGTAGCTCAGAGCCAAATGTACACCCTGCCACTGCCGTATGCAGCCTTGGCCTATGCATGTGGCTTTATGGCAGTGTCTGAGCAAACTAAAAATGATAAATTTTGTTCATTTGACATTATTTCAATGCTCCTTTAAATCAGTTCCTTGGTGGAAAAAAATGAAGTATATTTATAAGCATAATAAAGAAGTTAATTGGAAAGAAAACAGACTAGTATTTGTGCCGACACTGCACTTCATCTGTGCCTTCACATCTGCCACTCACAGTCACACGCTGCGCCCAGTCGGCAGTCAGCGCAGAGAGAGGACTGGGTCTTGGTCTGGGTGTCCCAGAGCCTCCCTTGTCTACCCTAGCCCCGGTGCTCCCTCTGCACCAGCCCTGTGGCCCCCACACTTTCCCACCCTTTAGGCTTGTGGAAGCCCTCGCCGTCCCCTCTGCCTGGAATACCCTCCCTCAGATGACCACGGGCTCCACCCTCACCTTCAGGTCTTTGCTGGACGTCACCACCTACTGAAGCCTTCCATGGCTGCTTGAACACCTGCTCACCCCACCACTTGCCTGTCTTTCCTGCTTTTTTTTTTCCCTCCTTCATATTTGTCACAGCATAGTATATGTTTGCTTTTTTATCTTATTTGTTGCCTGTTTCCCCATAGGAGGGCAGATAATTGATTTTCTGTTTCCCAGTGCCTAGAAGAGTGCCTGACACCTAGTAGTTGCATAATAATGTTTGTTGAGTGACTGACTGAGTGAGCAAATGACCAAGTGCTTCATCCACCATTCTCTCTTATCTCCTGCTACTAAGGAGCAAAGTGAGTTCCAGGATTTCATGCTTCACGCTGCAGGCAGCTTTAGTTTAATTCCTGTGGGGCACCTGAAATCTGAATGAGAGAAAAATTGGCAAGGAAACATGCTTTTTTTCTCACGTTTAAATGTTCTTGTTGATGCAGAAGCAACTTTTTATTTTTGTTCTTGCATTAAGAAATGCCAGAAACTCCTTTGGTGGCCTGAGAAACATCACTGACTGGTGGGACTGGAGTCTGACCACACTTCTGGACAGCCTGTACCCGGGAGGCTCCCCAACAACCCGTGTGCCGGGGGCTCAGGTGAGCTTTCCATCTCCTCTTCATAGGAGATCATCTCAGAAAAGCCATCTTGCAGTGGGTGAAACAGTCACTAATACCGAACTGCAGCACTGTGTAGGTTCTTGAATGAGCATGCAGGTGTAAGGCCGGTGGCTCTCCAGCGGGTCCCAGCAGAGCATCCTGTTCCTTTCCTGCCGGAACCCGTTGGCCCCATTCCATTACACCCTGCTGAGCTGCACGGGGTTCTTCAGATTCCTGTGCTTCCCAGGCCTGAGATAGACACAGGGGCTATTGCAGAGCCTCAGGAGCCCTCAGGCTGATGGGGTGCAAGGTCAGGAAATAGAAGATTCTAGTTCCGTGTGCAAACTACCCTGACAAGGAAACACAAGAACCACATCAAAACAGAGGAAATGCAAGAAAGCTTCCAGAAAGAGGTGAGGCTGATCCCAAGTTCTGAAAAGTTAATATGCATTTTGCATAATCCCATTCCTTGCTCATCTTTTATTTTCAACCCCTTTCCCATGTTTAAAAATGAAATATACTGGGCACGGTGGCGCACACCTGTAATCCCAGCACTTTGGGAGGCCGAGGCAGATGGATCACGAGATCAAGAGTTCGAGACCAGCCTGGCCAACATGGTGAAACCCTGTCTCTACTAAAAATACAAAAGTTAGCTGTGTGTGGTGGTGCATGCCTGTAATCCCAGCTACTTGCAAGGCTGAGGCAAGAGAATTGCTTGAACCCAAGAGGTGGAGGTTGCAGTGAACCAAGATCATGCCACTGCACTCCAGCCTAAAAATACAAAAACTAGCCGGGCATCGTGGCACGTGCCTGTAATCCTAGCTACTTGGGAGGCTGAGGCAGGAGAATTGCTTGAACCCGGTGGGTGGAGGTTGCAGTGAGCTGAGGTCGCACCACTGCACTCCAGCCTGGGTGACACAGCTTTTCTCTGTCTCTAAATTTAAAAAAGAGAGAGAAATATATTTATATATTTGTCCACATTCCTTGAGCAGTTTATTTCTAATTTTATTTTGTTGTATTCTATATAGTCTCTTGGGTTGATGATGCTGGAGAAACTTTCAAAAAAAATAAAAGAGAGCATTCTCGTGTGATGCAAGTTACGGACATCATTTGAATGTTAACCCTTTTCCAGGACAAGCCTGGGGAGGTTGTTGCTGCCATCTTAGAATGTTGGTTATATCCCTAAAATGGTGTTGGAAGGAAAGTAAAACTCTGACCTCTATGGTAGCAGGTGGAGTTACCCAGAGCATCCCCACGCCTTTTGAGCGCGGCTTGATGAGGAGATTTGAAGTCCTCAGCACACCCAGTCCTCATGATCTTTTTTCTCCTTTCAGCCTGGAGCTCTTGGAGGAAAATGCTATCTAATAGGCAGTTCTGTAATTAAGCAACTAAAAGTTTTTCCTAGCCATTTATGCAAGGTAAGATGCTCCTTTTCCTTTTGCTTCCAAAAATAAATGGAATTAGAGAAGTCTAGGCAATATTGGGGCAGGACCCTGGCAGATCATTTGAACTTCTCGGAGAGTTCGGTGGTGATTGGAATTGTCAGTGCCGGGGCTGGGGAGAGGGCGAGCCTCGCCCTTCCTTCCTTACCCCCTATGAACCCTTTCCCAAAGCCTCTTCCTTCCTTGGCGTTCTGCTGCAGATTTATTCAATTCACTCTTTGGCCTTAGAGGCTGGCATTCTAGGCAAAACTAGGGTTTTTAATCAAACAATCTAAAAATAGAATATTCACATATCCTTTTCTAATGGGGAGGGTGTGCCCTCCCCATTAGAGGGATGGGCATTTTACCTGGCATCTTATGATGGGGAAGTCTTCAAGTGCTCTAAGCCTTAGACCCATACACACCTCAGACGCCAACCTTCCATGGGTAGAACCTTGATCCTGTAGCTTGAGCTAGAGTCTGTAGACCACGAAACAGGCTGCAGAACGATCCTATGAGGAGAGAAGGACGCCATGTTGCAGGACAGAGCAGGTGTTCACAGGCGGCCAGGCCTGGAGATCCCGGATTGCAGGGTGGCCTTGGAAATAGCATCTGTGTCTTCTTCTGACTGCTGGTTTGTTCTACAGCCTCCCAGGCCATTTTCAGCACCCACTGAAGACTCTATTCCTACATGTAGCCCCAAAGGTGGAGGCCCTGAGAACCCCTACCTGATAGACCCAGAGAACCAAAACATGACCCTGAATGCTCCCAGGGGCTATGGGGCAAGGAAGGACTGTGTGCTCAGCCTGGGCAGAACAAGGTCAGTGAGATTCAAAGGGCCGGTGCTCATCCTGCCTGCTGCCGCCACTCCTGCTCGGGTGCCTGCTGGACGCGGTGCATCTGCAGCAGGTGCAGCCTCCTGACAGGCCCGCGAGGTCAGCGCACCACTGCCAGGAGCTCCAGCAAGACTTGTCATTGTTGTGAATGATAGAAGCGTCACACAGGCTCAGGCCTCCATGTGGGAGAGCACAGAGCAAACGTTCTTTCAAAAAGTGACTGCTAGAACATCTGGAGCTCATGGAATATAAGGAGCATTTGTTGCGTGCTGACCTTGTGCCAAGCTGGGTGTTTACGGTCTCATTTAATCCTCACCCAGCTCTGTGGAGTAGGCCCCGTGCTACTTTTCCCACGTCCTGAGGGTGAGGGGTGGAGGTTCAAGTGCGTAACAAGCACGACCCCATGTTGCAGCTAGGTCTGAGGTCAAGCTGCCTGCCCCATCCAGCCAGGCACACTGTTGCCCACAGCCACCCGGGGCTCCCCGAGCAGCATGCACCTCACACTGGGTTGGAGCTGTGCTGACCCAGTGGTAACACGAATGGTCTTAGACCAACAGGGAGCTCTAGACAGTTACAGTAATGTGTGCCTTTGAGTAATACTCTTTAAAAAGGAAATGATTTAATCGTTACTAAATACAAATTAGTATTTAGTAACTGCCTTCCCCCAGCTTGTCTGTTCCAAACAATGGGGTCTCTAGAAAAAAAAGAAAAAATGAATATTCTAGAGTCCCTGGGGAGAGACACTGGGCATCTCTGCCTCACATGGGGTGGGGTGGGAAATTGAGGCCTCCGTTCTCCAGGTCCCTCATGCCTGAGGGTCCCCTGAGCTGCTGCAGGGAAGAGGGTGGGGCAAGGAGAGAGGACAGAGGGCTATTGATGAGGTCCCTTAGATACAGAGGGCCATCTGTCCTGCTCCTTGAAGCCCCAGGCACTGTGTGTCCTTGCAAAGTCTTGCATGGGGTGTTCCCAGCATGGGACCTGCAGCTGGGAGCCTCAGTGGACTTCTGCGCCTTCCTCCCTGCCCTGCCCTACCCCAGTGTGTGCTGCTTTACAGGCCCGAAGCCCACACAGCCCTGTCTCGACTCAGGGCCAGCACGTGGATTGACCACAGCACCAGGGCTGTGTCTGTGCACTTCACCCTCTATAACCCTCCAACCCAACTCTTCACCAGCGTGTCCCTTGAGTTGGAGATCCTCCCTACGGGGAGTCTCGTCCCTCATCCCTTGGTGAGTCATTCAGCATCTTCCGCAGTGACTCAGGCCCTGCAGTACCACCTTCGTGCTTCCCAGGTGAGCTGACCTGCTCTTTGGGCCTACTGGAGGTGCACAGGGAGATGGGGTTCACCTGTGGCTGGGCTTCTCCACCAGACAGGACGTAGTTCGGCCTACCCATTCACGCACCCTGCAGTCACACTCTTTGTCACATCTCCTTCATGATGGCAGGCATCACACTAAGTGCTGGGGCACGAGACGAAGAAGACCCCCAGTGGGGAAACCAATCCTCACATGTGGTGGCAAGGGCAAATTAGAGCTATTCTTGAGGTACCAAATTTCATCACGGGGAATGGGCCTGACGCTTAAATTCCCGGGGTTTAGCTTCAGGCTGCTATAACAGAATAGCCTACACTGAGTGCTTTGAAAAGAGACAATTTATGGCCAGGCGCGGTGGTTACGCCTGTAATTTCAGCACTTCGGAGGCCGAGGTAGGCAGATCACAAGGTCAAGAGTTCAAGACCAGCCTGGCCAATATGGTGAAAACCCTCTCTTACTAAAAAAAAAAAATGAAAATTAGCTGGGCATGGGTTGGCATGTGCCTGTAATCCCAGCTACTCGGGAGGCTGAGGCAAGAGAATTGCTTGAACCCGGGAGGTGGAAGTTGCAGTGAGCTGAGATCGCACCACTGCACTCCAGCCTGCCCAACAGAGCAAGACTCCATCTAAAAAAAAAAAAAAAAGACATTTATTTCCCACACTCCCAGAGGCTGGAATTCCGTGATCAAGATCCCAGCCTGGTCAAGTTCTGGCGAGGGCTCTAGTCCTGGGCGATGGCCACCTTCTCACGATGTGCTCACAGAACCTCTTCTTTGTGGGTATACACAGGGAAAGAGAGCAAGAGCGAGCTGTCTAGGGTCTCTTTGTGTAAGGACACTAATCCTATAGGACCAGGGCCCCAGTTAACTTTGATTACTTCCTTATAGGCCCCTTCCCCACGTATATCCACACTGGGAGTTAGGGCTTCCACCGGCGAATTCAAGGGAATACAAAACTTCAGTCCATAGTACCCAGGGTCTTGGTGAGATGGAATATGTCCACATATCTTCACTGAACAATCCAAAACATCAGAAGTCACTCTGAGTTATTCCTTGGGAACTTTCCTGATTTTCTGCCTGTAGCTGACTTTTCTGCTATGAAGAACTAAGTCCTGCTGACTCTTCAGGTCAAGGTTACTTTGCCTTAGGAGTGAAGAGAGGAGAGTCCCAAGAGGTTTTAGACTCTAGGGACTGTTCAGTGACCCAGTAAAGGCTGTGATTTGCGTAGAGCTCAGCTTGCGCTGGAGTGGGTGGAACGGAGGGTGGGAGCCTGGGCCACTGGTCAGAGTCTGCCTGGGGGAGACACGTGAGGCACTTACCTTAGGCATCCAATTTAAGGGGCACCACAAATACTTGGTAATCACGGCAATCAGTATTCTGGTGCAATATTTATAAACATCAGAATTCATATCAAAGCATCATATTGGACAAAATATGGCAATTGTAGACAACGGCAGGATCAGTTTTCCTGATAGTTTCTTTGCTTCAGGCTCCAATAGAGAACAGCACAGCACTGCTTTTAAACACCTTGCAGCACCCAAAAGTGAACCCTGCTCTGATTATGTGTGTAGCTCCTTACAGCAGGCCAATGGGACACAAGGCACATAACTCCAACAGAGGACAGAGAAGATGCATAAAGCCATGCTGATGTGCTTTGGTTACTTGCAAATCCGTAACTAAATTTGAGTTTGGGTTAATGATTGAAGGCATGAATCAACAGGTAACTCACCAATGGAGAGAGAACCACGTAGAGAACTTTAAGAAAGTGCTTATAAGGGAGCTTTAAAAGAAGGCTTTACTTGGCTGAAAAAACTAATATATATGTATATATAGTTCGTATGTTATCTATTTCACATGTACACAGAAACTCACTCTTTTGAGTGGTGCGAAGGAAGGCCTGGAGGATCGGCATGGCGGTCGGGAGACCTAGTGGCTGTAGATGCCCGTATTCCATGCTTTCCCTGAGTGCAGAGACCATCTCGGGTTCTAACCCCTGGCATGGAGTTTCTGTGAGTGCTTGACTTGTGGAGAGGCACCAAACCACCCCAAGTGCCTACCAAAAGCAAGTTTAGGATTAAACCTCTGCAGAACAGGAAATGGGCTTGCATCCTGGGTACTCAAAGGTGATCAGCAGGGGAGCTGCTCACATGTTTAGACCTTCAGAAAACAATGTATCAGCATTCGTGTTGATCTTGTTTGTTTACATGCTCTCCACCAGCTGGTCTTCCTGGCGCTCAGCCTGGTCCACCTCTGTGTTCAACTCTACCATATGATGGATAAGGGCTTCCTCAGCTACTGGCGAAAACCAAGGAACTGGCTGGAGGTAGCCTCTCTTGTGTCATTTTCTTTTGAAAAATAACAATAAAGTGTTTATATCTTCAAAAAATAATTTAAATAAGAAATTGATTATGCACTAGCTACTGCTAACATTATTGCAGTTTTCTCCCTCTGTAGTGTTAATCTCAAAACAGCATTTGAGATCAGGCATCATTTAGTGTTGTTACAGTCACCATCATGTACCACACGAATTTCAGCCGAGGTGGTGGTCCCGTAAGATCATATGGTGCTAAGAAATTCCTGTCGCTTAATGACATCTTAATTCTGACCCTGTGTAGGCCTAGGCTAAATATGTCTGTTTGTATCTTAGTTTTTAGTAAAGGAGTTTAAAAATAAAAATTAAAAAAAACTTTTAAACATAGAAGAAAGCTTTTGGAATTAGGATATAAGGAAAATATTTTTTGTACAGCTGTACAGTGTGTTTGTGTTTTAAGCTGTATTATTACAAAATAAAAAGTTAAAAAATTAGAATTTTTTTAAGTAAGAGGGTTACAGTAAGCTAAGGTTATTTCTGAAGAAACAAAAATGTGTTTACAAATTTAGTGTAGCCTAAGTGTGCAGTGTTTTTAAAGTCTACATTAGCATACAGTAATGCTCTAGGCCTTCGCGTTCACTTACCACTCACTCACTGCCTCACCCAGAGCCATTTCTAGTCCTGCAAGTACCATTCATGGTAAGTGCTGATACAGGTGGACCATTTTTTACCTTTCGTAGTATATTTTTACTGTATCTTTTCTATGCTTAGATATATTTAGATACACCAGTACTTACCATTGTGTATGATTGCCTACAGTGTTCAGTACAGGAACACGCTGCACAGGTTTGTAGCCTGGGAACAATAGGCTGTCTCATATAGCCTAGGTGTGTGGGACTGTCTGTGTTTGTGTAAGTGCACCTTATAATGTTACCCCCAAGGACAAAACTGCCCAGCAATGCATTTCTCAGAAGGCATCCCTGTCATTAAACAACGCATCACTGTAACTTACAATGCATGTCACATGGGGTGCCAGGTAAGCCCTTCCTCAGGAGCCATCTGAGGGCCTTTCTCTTGGATGTTGCAGCTCTCCGTGGTTGGAGTGAGCCTCACCTACTATGCAGTTTCCGGCCACCTTGCTACTCTTGCTGGAGACGTCACTGACCAGTTTCACAGAGGACTTTGCCAAGCCTTTATGGACCTCACCCTTATGACATCATGGAATCAGGTACATAGTGTGCTCAGGGCCATACAGATAGAGGCCATGCACTGTGATGCCATCCAAAAGGCAGAGGTCACACAAGCTCTAGAAGGTGCGAGATAACAGATTTGTTCCATATTGAGAGATGATGCTCTAAGCTGGCAGATGGGACTGGCCAGGACAGTCAGTGAAGGGCCTGGAGAACTTGAGACGTGCTTTGAACACTGGGGTGTGTGGATTCTGCGTGGAGCAGAACTCAAGAGCCTGGAATTTCCCCAGTGCTTCCAGGGGACCGTAAGGGACACAGGAAGCAGGTGTTGATGCAGTGTGGAGAAAGGAGGCTAGCGCTGACTTGCTTAGACACACTATTTTCTCTCTTCGTCCTGGCGACAGTCATAAATGCAGGCAGTATTAGCCACTCTGCAAGTGAAGACACCAAGGCTCACAGAAAGCATCAGGTCCCTCAACAGAGGGAACTCGGGTTTCAAAGTCCCTGCACCTCCTTCCCCTAGGCGGCCCTTCCTGCAGGGAATGGTTCCCCACAGGATGGGAGCTCCTACCAGGAGGAGCAGGCAAATGAGCACAGATGAGACTGGACGAGCCCCGGGGAAGGGGCCCATGAGACGGGGCAGGATCCCCCCACAACAGTATGGGACGCTGCCGTGCTGTGGTGGTGGAAGATGAGCCCACATATTCTGCTTCCTTACCCTGCTGCCCTCAGAACTAGCCCCTCCCCTACCCCCCTTGCCCTCCTTTTCCCATCTAGAGGGCGGTCAAGGCCCCAGGGCCACCCCCAGGGCTGGGTGAGTCCTATAGCAACCTAGAGAACAAGGGCCAGTTCCCCTCCAGCTTCAGGCCCCTTCTCCCCACAGTCCATCCATCTCCCCCACAACCTCCCTCTCACCCCTTGGCTCCTGTCCTCTGTGTAAGGAGAACCAGGCAGGATGAGGCTCATTTGCACTACACTTCTGCTTCCTCCACCAGTGCCCCAGTCCCTGCCTCCTTTGCAAACTCTTACTTTGTTGCAAGTAAGAGAAACTCCCTAGGCTAGAGGAAAGAAACAGGTTCTAAAGGAGCCCAAGCGGAAGATTTGGCTTTTCTCCTGAAGTAAAAGAATACATGAGTCTGATGAAACAGAACACTTGCACATGCAAAGCAAAGCAACTGTCACTCACAGATTGGCAGGGACATCAGAAGCCTGGGCTGCATGGTGAGCTGGTGTCCCCAGCTCAGGAAAGCTGACCAGGATGGACAGAGTCCCGTCTGTGTGTGTCCCGACAGAGTCCCGTCTATGAGTGTCCCACTTGCACCAGTTCAGCCAGCCTGGCAAGTCGCCTGCCCTGAAGTTTCATAAGCTGGGGGAACATAACATGCTGTGCTAAAGTGTTAGAGGGCATCCTCTTCTCAGAGGAACATGACCAGAGCCCACGATGTTCCATGTAGTTCCTCCTTATCTCTGGATGTTGCATTCTTAGCAAATTCAACAGTTATTGTGAGAACTATAAGCAAGAAAAGGGGAAGAGCTGGCCTAGCCAAGGCCAACTAGGGACCTGTTCTGCAGGCACTTATCTGCATCTAATGACATCTGCATTAAGCAATTACTTGGTTTACTGTCTTCCCCCACAAGGCTGGAAGCTGCAAAATAGAGAATGTATCTAGTTTGTTCACTACTGCTCACCTGGTACCAATATTAGGGCCTGATGAGGACTGACTGCTTAATTTATTGGCATCACTCTCTGGGACGGACAGCAGGCTTCCTGGTCTACCTTTTACAGTATAGCTCTGCTAGTCAACCCACTTCCTACTGTTATGTGGCTTACCCACGTAACTGTGGCCTTGCATGACCCTGGCGGCTGCAATGCCGACACACCTGGCACTGCCTAGCCTGTGCTTAAAGGCCCACAGATGGTGGCCGGCTTTCTCTCTCTCAGTGCACAGCTTACAAGAGCATCTGATTAGTCACTGATTGGCCAGCAGGTGTGGGCCTCAGGAAGGTGGGGCAAAGTGAAACACTTTGTAGGATGTTCTTTTCACCTGATGTGGCAGGAGAGGTTTTCTAGAAGCATGATTAGGGCAAACATGAATATGGTCTACATACTGACCTGGTGACCTGGAGTAAATAGCCTCCTGCTGACTTCTGGCCTTGGGAAGTGAGTTCATCCTTATATCCCTTTCTCCCCCTTGATGTCCTATCTTTCTCATTATGTTCCCTGCCCCTGCCAGAAAAACTTACGTGGGGAGAGTCCTTCTTCCCTGGGGATCATGTCTAGGGCAGGTGCCAATTTCCAATTCCTCAATTAGCTTCTGAGAAGAGCCTACATGTACTGAGGTTTGCTTCTGCCAGGCACTGCCTAAATTCTATATAATCACGTGTATATTAAGCTATCCCACCACCTAATGAAACAGGACTAATATGCCACCCTTCTAGACCAAGGCTCTGAAAGGTTAAGCAGCTGGCACAAGGTCACTCACATTGACATACGAGCTGCACTGGAATTGGCCTCTGGTCTCAGGGTCCTGGGTAGCCGCATTCCTAAGCACAGAACTCTAATGCAATGGAACGGCCCTCCGAGGACATGGTCCACACTGTCCTGGCCCAGGAGTGCTCAAGGCAGGAACCTATATCTCACACTATTCAGCTCTATTGCTATGTTGCTGTGTGTTCAGGGCCAGCTTTTGGGAAATGTGCAGTGTAGACAATGTTTGTCCTCTGAGATGCCCTCGTGCACCCATCTCTGTTCTGGCACCTTGGCCTCTGCCCACACTATGGCTTTCCCTCCTGATTCCACTTCTGTGGGCACCTCTTGTGCTGTTCGTCAACTTATTCTCTGTAGAGACAGTTAGAGGAATTTAGCTCTAACTTCGATGTAGGCTGCATCCCAGGTGCTGGAAGAACGAGTCATCTTCAAGATAAGCACAAATGACTTTCTGATGATGGAATTTAACACCCAGAATTAAAGAGCTATGACTTGAGCATGTGAAAATGAAAATGCACAGGCTTTAGAGTCAGCAGACCTAAAACTCACTCCCAGCTCCACTGTGACCATGTGCCATTGGGCAAGTTTCTTAACTTTCTTCAAGTCTTAATAACGTAGAACTATGATACACACCTTGGGGGTTTTGCCAGGATTTGAATATGTGTGTGTGTGTGTGTGTGTGTGTGTGTCTGTGTCTGTCTGTGTATTTGTACATGCATATCCAAACATATCCTTGGAACAGCTTGGCACCTAGCAGATGTTCCATAATGAAAGTCCTAATAATGGTGAATTACTCAGAAGGCTTTATGGCATCCGTCAGTCAGATGCGGGCAAGAAAGGGGCCCTTTCACTCTGTCCACAGAAGTTTAGAGCTGTGTTGTCCAATAGTCAGCACTAGCCACAGATGGCTATTGAGAACTCGAAATGGGGATAGTCCAAACTGAGATGTGCTGTGGGTATAAAATACTCACTGGACTTCATAAACTTAGTACAAAAATTAAAAATGTGCTGGGTGCAGTGGCTCACGCCTATAATCCTAGCATTTCGGGAGGCCAAGGCCGGCGGATTGCCTGACCTCAGGAGTTCAAGACCAGCCTGGGCAGGCCGGGCACCCAGGCTCACGCCTGTAATCCCAACACTTTGGGAGGCTGAGGCAGGTGGATCACGAGGTCAGGAGATCGAGACCATCCTGGCTAACACAGTGAGACCCCATCTCTACTAAAAATACAAAAAATTAGCCAGGCGTGGTGGCAGGTGCCTGTAGTCCCAGCTACTCAGGAGGCTGAGGCAGGAGAATGGCGTGAACCCGGGAGGCAGAGCTTGCAGTGAGCGGAGATCACGTCACTGCACTCCAGCCTGGGTGACAGAATGAGACTCTGTCTCAAAAAACAAACAAACAAACAAACAAAAAACCTAGCCTGGGCAACATGGTGAAATCCCGTCTCTATTAAAACACACAAAAAAATTAGCCGCTGTGGTGGCATATGCCTGTAGTCCCAGCTACTCAGTAGGCTGAGACAGGAGAATTGCTTGAACTCACCAGGAGGCCGGAGATTGCAGTGAGCCGAGATCCCGCCACTGCACTCACACTCCAGTCTAGGCGACAGAGCGAGACTCCATCTCAAAAAAAAAAAGAAAAAAAATTAAAAATGTAAGATATCTCAATAATCTTTATGTTTTTTACGTATTGACATGATGCTATTTTATATGATTTGACATGAATTCATTTAAACAAAATATATTATAAAATACATTTACTCTGTTTAATTGTACTTTTTAAAACGTGGCTACTAGAAAATTCCACCCATAGCTTGCATTGCATTTCTCTTGGCTGGTGCTGGCTAGAGCCCTATTCATCCCCATTCTCCTATGTGTGGCCCTGCCTGCTCTGAAGGAACCCGAGCAGTGACAGCCACTCACAGCTTCTCTAGGTTTTGGTTGTCAGAAGTCATTGTTGACTTTGTCCCAATTACTGAGGAAATAAAACAAACAGAAAACTTTGATTCATTGCCCATATAGATTTTAAACCATCCAGCTGTCACTTCTTTTCTCTTGACCTTACAATTTTGGTGAGAGCATATGAGATCATACACAGAAGTACTTTCCCCGTGAGTCCCTGGTAGGGAGGGGAGAAGGGAGGAGCCTTCCTAGAGGCCTTGTGAATGTGGACGAGTCCAGGAGGCTGTTTGCCCCTGGGTCTGCCGTGCCTCCAGTTGTACTATGTTTGTCTGTTCACACTGTTTATCTGAACCGTAGACTCTAGAGCTGTAAAAGGGGAGTACCTCCCGTATTTGCGAGGATTACGTTTTTAAAAACCTACTTGGAAAGTGTTGGTGCCCTATTCTGTACACGTAACTGGGGGGAAGGAAATAAGCATGCACTAAATACTTATTTGAGCCCCCTCCGTGGTAATGATTTTCTTATAGCCCAGTAGACTGCAGCACAGACAGGGAGAACAGATGTGGGGTGGACAGAGTCCCATCTGTGTGTGCCTGCTAGACCTGCTCCATCCTGGTGTTCAAAGAAATGACCAGGCCAGAATTCAGAGCAGGACTTCTCAAAATGCGTTATGATTTGTATTTAGCCCTAGTTCCAACTCATTCTCCTCTGCAGACATCTGCACTTGATGTTCCTTGGAGACTCATGGGTCTATATAACATCATCAAATCCAATGAACTCTTTATGCACGGCTGACAGCTGTGAATATGTCTGCACCTTTCAGTGACTGGCATGACACACTGACTGCTCTGTTCTTCTGTCTTAGAGGGCTCGATGGCTCCAGGGAATCCTCTTATTCCTCTTCACATTAAAATGCATCTATCTTCCTGGCATTCGAAACACAATGGCATCCTGCTCCTCCATGACGCGCCACTCGCTCCCCAGCATCTTTGTAGCAGTGGTAAGAACTCTCCCCTTTATCATGTGATTTCCCTTGTAAACCATTGATCTGTGTACTCTTGTCAGCCTTTCTCAAGGGAAAAACAAACTGCTGTCAAGGTAAACACCGTCTAGAATTCCAGTCTTCTAACGCCTTACATTTTTAGATAACTGATATCAATAGTTATATAGTAAGTTACGGTCATGACAACAATGATCGTGACTTATGAAACACTTGCTCTGTACTATACCTTACAACAGCATGTCATTATGACTAATATAAGTAGTTATTAACACCTACTGAGCTTTCTCTAAGTGCCAGGAATGGCACTTTGGGCCTTTCATAGATTACTTCATTTAACTATCATAACCAAGATATCTATGGGCAGGCACGGTTCTTCTTAGAAGGTTCTCAGGTTTGCCTGGCTCAAACCCCAGGGCACAGCCAAGTCTTCATCCAGGGCTGGCCCTGAAGTCTGGTCTGGAGGGTGAAGCCCCACATCAACAGGTCTGGAGTACAGCTTGGAGCCCTGATGAAGTTCCTGGAGCGCTGTTGATTCCAATCTGGTCGCAGCAGGGAAAGAGCTTTGCTCCAACCTGACAGGCCCTAGTACAGCACAGAATTGCAATCAGGGCCGAGGGAGAGTCTTGGCCAAGTGCCCTGAGTTAGGAGGCTCTGACTGTCAGCATCCAGGCCACACAGGACACCGAGCCCAGGTCTCCTGCTCCAGGGAAGGGGTTCCCCAAACCTTATTCGCCTTGCAGTGGAGGAACACTCTCAGCAAACCAGGGCAGAGAGAACAAACCTGAGAGTCAGAGAGAGTGGCATTCGAACCCAGCTGTCCCACGCCCTAACTCACTGTTGTGAGCACCAACCAGTTGCCCAACCTCTGCCTCCAGAAGAAGCATTAACAATGTTTGCC